TAGAGGTGATACAGTATCATGATTATTCTTGGTGCCCACAGAATGGCAAAAATAGAAGTTATAGTAAACAAAATGGCTGTTGTTTTCCCTGTGGAGTACCCTCGCAGGCGGAAATTGCTCTTTCTCCGCAGCTTGTACACAATGATGGAATTGAGGATGAAGAAGATGGAGCAGGGCACCAAGTACACGGTGAAGCAGTGCACCCAGATGAGCACGTGGTGCATGGACGTGCTGATGTAGTCTTCAATCCAGATGTTGGGCCACCAGTAGTAAGGGATGCTGGTCACAAAGCAGGTGACGTAGACACTGACAATGACCTTGCGGGTACGAGCAGGGTAGGAGACCGTGTGGTACCTGAGGGGGTGGCACACGGCGATGTACCTGTCGATGGTCAGCGGCACCGTAATCCAAATCGACGTGTGGATGGAAGAAAACTCCAACACCTCAATTATTTTGTCCAGTACCTGAGGCATCTGTTTGTTTAAGATGAAGTCTTCCATGAGGAAGTCAACAAAGACGATGAAGAAGAGAACCAGGATGTCAGCAGCAGCTAGAGCTAAAAGGTAATTATAGGAGGACTTCTGCCTGCGAGCTACAAGCTGGGAGAGGATGATGACTGTCAAGATGTTTGCTGTGGAGAAAGAAACACAGAGTTAGCCTATCAAGATGTAACATTAGCTTTTCTGAGCGCTTGCTTGGAGTTGCTCAAGCACTTAGCAACGTGACCACCTTATTAAAGTTCAAGAAACCAAAAGAAAAAAGGCCAGTCAGGTCCCTCAGAGAAGCCGTTGCAGTGACAGGAGCATGTGGCCCTGCTCTGAGCTGTGGAATCCCAGAGCAGGGGGTGCTGGGACTCCTGTCTGTGCACACAAAGGGAGTGGTAGCAGGAGAAAAAAAGCTCACACACACACACTTTTATTTCCCATCTTGTTTTTTTCACTTTTTCATATAACAAGGGATGAATAAGAAGGGTACTTGTAGTACTTAAGAGATTTGCTGGAGCACTAAGGTGTAGCCAAATTTTAGCTACTTCCTCTTGTTTACTAGAACTTACTGTGTAGTCTTGAATTGGAAAAAAAATAAATTCTTATTATGCCTACTATCAGTTTGGCTAAAATTGTTCCCATCAGAGGCTGGTATCACTTGGCTAGAATACCTGAAGAAGTGCTTAAAAATCAGAGATCTGGTTTACTGTAGAAGGGACTGCCAATGTTTGTAGTTGATACTTTCCTAAGTGTTCTGTAAATCACCTCTTCTGTGCATTCAATGCTTCAAACATTTCTGCCAGCTTTGATGGATTTCCCAAAACAAATCAAAAATAATTGTAAAGATTCCTTTAAACCAGAGAAAAAGGAAGTTGGTAACATAAAGATAATGACAGCCTAGGACACATCCTACAACTGAAAATGCTTGTTTTTTTAAAAACTGTTTTACTTGGCACTGAAAAAACTTCCTCCTTTGTGAGTGCCTTCAAAGCCTGCTGTCTGGGAGCAGATTTCTGCCACCAGGGAAATGAACTGCAGAGTGAATCTTGACTAACAGCCCTCACCTATTTTTGTGTTAACTGAATGTATTAATTTTGTATCTTGGAAAATAAACTAAACCAAACGTGACAATCAGCTGACTCTTTCCCCGTATTAAAAAAAAAAAAAAAAGGCAGCACGATCTTTCCAATGCTACTGTCTCAAATTGCCTTCAGGGGAATTTTCTCAATTCTGTCCTCCATTAACGTGAATGCAACTACATTGATTTCAGCTCAGTGCAGACGTGGGAGACAAGAGGTGATACAGCCAGAACTGCTGTGTCATTTTTCATTTACTTGCTTAGAAATGCCTCTGCTGAGCCTGCTGATGAGCCCTGGAGGTGCAGTGAGTGATGCACTGTCAAGGAAATCCTCGAGCTGGAGTGTTTATCATGGCTCTGCAGCCACTGCTGGTTTTGGCCAGCCAGGCTGACTGGCTCGGCTTCACAGATATTGGATGTGACCCATGGGGTGCATCTTCTCTTCAAATCCTCTGGCTTTGACTCATTCCAGTAGCAGCAGCTGGAGCCAGTGGGCAGCACGGGGGACGTCTGAAGGCACTGGTCCCTGCTGGTGACTCTGGCCTGCCAGAGCAGCTCCTGCAGGGATGCTGAAGCCATGCCGTGTTCAGGTACAGCAGCCCTGCTCCTCACACTTTCTATCTATTGCAGGGCTCCTGCTGCTCGGTTCTAACTCCACTCTGTTTTGCTACAGGAGCAGATTTATGAGCAGTCCCTTGCCCCCTTTGCCCCTGCCTCTCTCAGGGTTCCCAGCCACAGCAGTAACAGCGTGTGCTGAAATGCAAGTTATTTATCTGAGGCCAGTGAGCCTTGCTTGGTGAGCCAGATTAGAAAATTGATCTGACAAAGTACACATGAGCTCTACCCAATTTTTTCTGCAAGGGTTACTGTATCTTGTATTGGAAATGCTTTCCCTGGGATCACATTAGAGCTTTTCTCTTGCTGGATGATATGAAATATAGTAACACCATTTACTTTGTGGAAACAGATACATACTGGGATGCAGCAGAAAGTTGCCAATATGCCGGTGTCTTAGCACAGGGTCTGAGTATTTTTCCTGCTGCACACTCTTGAGGGAAAGTGTAGATGAGCAATGGATGCCTTCATCCATTTCCTAGCCAGTGTTAAGTTGGTCCTCGGTGTGTCCTCAAACAGTATCCAAAGCTCAGTAAAATGGGAAGTGGGTGGGCACACCACTCTGTGTGACCAGCTGTGTCCTTGGGCCAGTCTCACAGTAACTCCTGAACGTCCTGCTGTCCTCTGGGCAAAAATTACCCACTGGGGGTGAAAGGTGATAGAAGAGTATTTGTCACCATATTTTAATCTTGCTGACACTAATTCTTGCACTAGAATGCTAGTCTGATGAGAACTATGGCAGAGATGATGATGATGATAATGGAAATATGAAAATACCTATCTCTGCTGTAATGTAGGTCGAGCTACATACAACTGCTGGATAGGCCAGCACCCCTAAATCGTCCTGGATGGTACACTGCCCATTTCTTGCAGTGTGTTTTCTAGATACTAAGTGTTTAAGATCATTTGAATTTGAAAGAGATTGATCACTGTGCTGGGAGATGATTAGGGGATGACAGATGGGAATTTATGCCAGCGTTGCTTGCTGCAGTGCAGCATTCTGAATTTATAAATATCTGTTTGAGAACCAGGGCTTGATTGGGGACGAGCTGGCTGAAGCCTTGAGGTGCTACTGGCAGATGATTAAAAGCAACTGTACAAAATGGCAGTCTCAATTCTTTCCCTCCAGGCATGAGACATGAGACATTTCAGCATCCAAAGGTCTCTGATACCCAAACACTTTTGTTCCAGGCTGCTCAAAACAAGGCAACCTTCTAACTCAGCCAGGCTTCATCACAGGACACTTACATCCCTCCTTTGACATCTCTTCTGCCTTTATCAGCTTCTGAGTACAAACTGCAGCACCAAAATTCATGCCATTGGAGGTCCTTTGTGTCTGAGAGGGATCTTCCTTTAAGGAGTAACTTTGGCTCCTGTGTGGATTTGGGTTTCCTTCCCATACCAAAGCTGTGCTGCCTTGGCTGCAGAGCCTGGGCAGTCTCCTGTACCTCAAGCAGTGCTGTGCCCTAAGGACACAGTTTTGCCCCCAGCTTCTCATTCCATGGATTACAGTCATCATTCCAATGGTGTGTAAGTATGGCCTTTGCAGGGGATTTGAAGAACTTTCAGTGACTATTTTCATTGCAGGTGAGCTTAAGCAGGAGTGATTGTATCTGTCTAAAGAAGAAATAGGCATAGTTCTGGGCTTTACTTGTGCTTGGGTTTTTTGGTGGTGGTTTTTTTTTTTGTTAATTGACAGCACTTTGCACGTACACAGCAGCCCGTGCACTCAAATGGCCTTTACAACACAAGCAGCAGCTCCCTGCATTGGGAACAAGGCTGGTTCTGTAGTTCAGCAGTTCAGCTTTATAAACTACTTAAATGAAGTAGCCACGAGTATTGCTCACTGAGCGTGATAAACATTAGGTCACGGAATATAATGGACACCTTTTACCCAACACAGTTGTTGCTAGGATTGCCACAAATTATTGTGTAATGTGTGAAACTTCTCTGCAGGCTTAGCAGTAGGCACCTGACTGGCACAGAGAGATAGCTTACAAATGGGAAATTTTAAGTTGCCTCAGAAAAAATGTTAGTAACACCTCCTCCTCAGATTTAAGAACTCTGAGAAGTGCAATATGATAAAAATAAGCAGTGAGAAAAAGGGATTTTCTGGCTTGATGCAAATAGATTATTTCCTCTAAGCTAGGAGGCAATATTCAAATGTAAACAGGTACTGTGGCCAGCAGGCAGATCTGACCACGGCTCCTAACACAGCTGCTCACCAAGTTACCAGACTGGAGATGAGGATGGCATTCAGCCCTTACTTTGTGTGGGAGCTTTCTGGAGAAGCTGATGCCAATGGGTGATTTCTGATAAAGATGCTAAATAACAGAAGTTAGTAACAAAAAAAACCAACCAGGAATACAGTGGCAATGTAAATACATGACAATTGTTTATGCTGGCTATAGTTGGTTATGTGATCTTTTAAAATGACTTCTGGATGCTGTTTGCCCTTAAAGAAGATAGGGTAGCTCCACATTTTCCTCTTACAACCAATATAGATCAAACTCAGCACTAGAGCAGATGGGGACAAACTGAACAGTGCTTCGGTTTGTTTCTCTCTTTTATTATCATATCCTGATTCCCTTCCTTAAACTGTTGTGAAGCATAAAGAGATACTTTATAGAATATAATTAGTGCAATACAAGTTTTGTCTTCCCAGGGAGTTCCTGTGAGGATTGATTTTTGAAAATAAATGGATTTATTTGTTGCTCAGTCGTCTGAGTGCTGTCAAACAGCACACAGCAAGGCACCCCCAGGAGAGAAGAGCTGTCAGCCCCTTCTGCTAGTGCCTACATCATCTCCCAGGGAATGGAGAGGGATATATGCAAAAAAAACCAAAAACAAACAAATAAACAAAAAAACAACTAAAAAAAAAAAACAAAGGAAAAAAATTATCATAAAACTATGGCATCTGGATTGCTACTGGAGGAGATTTCACATCTTGTAGGAAGGCCCGAGTGTGGCTTGTGCTTAGAAAATCCCATGTGCAGGGACAGCCCATGCCAGTTCTGAGGGTGAAAGAGAACCTGGAGGTAGAGGATGCCCAAGCTCCTGCCCAGACCAACCCAAACTCTCTCCTATGTGCAGGAGCCCGGGTTAGTTACTGCCAGGGAAAACACAGCATGGCCTTGTGCTTACAAGTCACAAGTGAATGAGACAGTCAGTGCCAGAGGCCAGATTCTGACAATGAAATCTGGCCTCTGGGGCCATTTTTCTCACTGACAGCATTTATTAGCTGAGATGGCTCTGGGGAAGGATGCAATGAATGAGGTACTCTGCTCTGCAGCTGGCATTAGCCATCAGTGGGTCACAGAGGCCAGAGAAGGATTTTAATCCAGCACAAGCACTTCCTCAGTGTTGGAGGGCACAGACACAGCAATGGCATGGACATGCCAATGGCTGATATCCCCTCGAGCCCTGCCAGCCTCTGAGGCTGGAGTGCAGCAG